CATCTTCAGGATCGATAAACTTGTATAAATCGTCATATACTTGTTGAACATTTTTATTTTGCTTCCTCTCTATCATCTAATGTTTGATATAGATATCTTTAAAAGGCTTTATTCAGTTTATACCAAATGTCGATCACAAACTCTCTTTAACTCTTCTTACATAGTAGCTTCTTTTTGAACGGACTGTGATGAGTAGCTAATTTACTAAACATATTAGTACACTAACTAATATAATTTTATATAAATTGAACACTAGTACTTACAGAGAAATACATTTTTTTGCTCCACAACTCATCAAAGATTAAACCTCTTTCATTAGACTTCTAGAGAAAATCAACGCAATGTTCATCACTGTCTAATTCTTCTTTAAAATATTCATTCATCTATTGTTCAGATATCTGTTTATGCTCATGAAATATTTGTAAGTAAGCTTTTTAATTGTGTCCTGTAATATAAATATAATTATAAGCAAACATGTAAAGAAACATTATAAATTATTTATATTATTTACATGGTAAAAATCTTTCTCTTTCTTAACTTTGCTTTTTCTTTTATCTTTCGTCTCAATTTTAGGGTAGATCTTCTCATAGTAATCATTTAACATCGACAATTTTATTATCCTAATCGTTTATCTTCTTCTCTAGTTTTTCTTGATTTATAACTAATTCATTCAGTTTTGTTGAATTGCTTTGACAGATTTTAATTATTTTCATTAATTCTGCGTATAATCAGCTAATAAATTAGAATTAATTTAATATCATATTTCAATAAACGCAAGATATATGCTGATATAAATTCTGTCTAACCTTTAGCAGATTCTTTAGAACCTTGAGATACTTTAGAGCTTGTCTTAGACATTTTAGATGTTGTTCGATGTGTAAGATGAGGTATTACTATATCAGGTAAAGGCATTATTAATATTTCTCCTATCTACGTAATAATAAATACATTAAAGATTAGTTAAAACAAGTAACAATAATAAAAAATATAATTTGCCATTGCTAATTGAGTTATTTCTCGACATACCCTAGTAGTATTACTTAAACTTGTTTAAAAGATGAAATTATTATTTGAAAACAAATTGATCTTTAGAATTTTTGTTTTTCTAATATTTGATCGTGATCTGTTAACAGATTTCTCAGGTTTTCTAGTATTTAGTCATGATCTGTCAATGGATTTTTCTGATTTTCTAGTATTTGATCATGGTCTGTCAACAGATTCCTCAGTAACTTCAGTATTAGTATCAGTAGAATTCAGGCGTTCTTTTGATACTACATTTAATTTTAAAAATTAGTATGCTTAATTTATTTTAATAAACAAAGTTTTTTTTATACCTTTATTTTTTAGAGTCTAAAAGAAAGTATAACAAGTTAACAAACATGAAAATAAATCAACAAATATAATTAATAAACAATATATAATTACCTTTTAGTTCACTGTTATTGATTTGATCTTTGAAGATTTTAAGTTGTTGTAATTAATAATACTCATTATAATAAATATGATAGGTGAAAAAAAAAGAGTAAAAAAAGATGTTAGATATTGGTATTTCTTGATTCTTTTTATTTTTATGTTAATAAATGATGTGATTAATCTCATTGATTAATTTAATGATAAGAGACATGAATTGAATAAATCAACTCATTAATCAATTCTATTCAGTTTAAACATCATGATGCTCTAAAATCCTTAAATTCATCACATTAATTTAACTTAATAGATAAATCTACATTTTATTTTATTAAAAAAATGCTAAGTTATACATATTTAACTTGTGGAAGAGAGATTAATTATCGTGTTTTGCTACAAAATCATGTAAAGGTTCATAATAATGCAGTCATTGACAGAGCTTTACAAGAAATTTCTGGAAAAGTAGAATAGGCTTATAAATAACTTGAAGAAGAGGAGTTGAGTTACAACAAACAATTAGAAGAAGAAGAGAAATTGAGTTATGATGAACAATTAGAAGAAGAAAAGAAGTTTAGTTATGAAGAACAATTTGAAGAAGAAGAGTTAAGTTATAACAAATAACTAGAAAAAGAAGAGGAGTTTAATTACAAAGAATAACTTGAAGAAAAGGTAGGAAATCAATGTGTTACATAGTTATTTGATGTAATATTCTATTAATATCTATATATAACAGATGATCAATAATGATAAGATTGAGTATTTATTGCTTCCTGTTAAAACAAGTCCAATTCTTGAGTCTCTTAATATTAGTAATTCAATAATAAATATGCCAAAATTTTCAAGCAATGAATTTAGAGATTTTATAGAGTTACTTACCAAATGGAACTTATCAGATGCACTTAAATTTTCAAAATAGATTTATTATGATGATGTAATTTTACCAATGTCTGTAAAAAAAGTCCATTAGTTGTTAGATCAGATGAATGTATCACATATTTTTTTAAAAAAGATCCCTATTATAGTATATAAAGAGGAAATAAATTACCTTTATTACTGTCAAATTTTGATGCTATAAAGGAGTTGCTAAGCAATCAAAATATATTTCATCATTGTAAATTTAAATTTGAGTCATTAAATCACAAAGGTCAGAGAATTTATCATGAATAATATAACAGGGAATGATGGAAAAGGATACAAAATTCAATTCTCAGTAAAGCAAAAGTCTTGTCTATAATCATGTATTCTGATATAATAATGTGTGACCAATTGAGCAAAACCAGCCAACATCCCATTTATTTAACCTTGAGAAATATACCTAGCTGGATTAGGAATAAACCTGATATAAAATTTCTTTTAAGATATCTTCTGCAATTGAAAGCAAAAACCAACTCTGAAAAAAATCTAAGGGTTTTTAATTAGCTAAACGTATCCTTTATCAATATGCTTTAAGTATATTAATATGTCTAATACTTAGTTATAAGGCCAATAAATTTAACCTTAAAATAGATAACAATGAATTACTATAATATTATCTGTTTTATTTATGTGATATTAGGAGATCTTCCAGAAAATACTACGGTAACTCTAACATATAATTCCGTCAATTGTAAATATCCATGTTATTAGTATTTAATAAAAAGCAGAAACCTGAATAATGTAAAATTGAAAAATGAACGAATTATTTCAAAAATACCAGAAGGTTTGAAAAGTATTATTATACAAGATCTTGCATAATAATACTCTTTACATAATATGGAAAACATCTTCTGAAAATACCTATATGTATCATGTAATCAATAAAAAGAATTAATTATAACGATTTCTTAATGACATTAGTTTACTTAGTTATTTAAACATTTATTTAGCAATAATTTCTGACTGCATGAATCATCTTAACTTGGGCTTATTCAATTACTAAGTAAATTATACAAGGAATTGCTGAGGAATTATTACGGTAAAGTAGCAGTTGACGTATTTGATAATTACCTAGCTGAAATTTCAAGATTTTTTAAATTCAAGTTGTTTAAAAATGAATTGAAAAATATTAAGCAATTTATAGCAGATAATTTTTGAAATATGATGAAAGTTTTACTTTTCATCATTAAAGGATTAATCAAAAAGCATCATAAAGAATCAATAAGTAAAAATTAAGCTAATAAGGCTGATGAACTATTAGTTAGCATGTATTATAGCTAGAATAAGATATACTTGTACAGTCAATGGGAACATTTTTTGGAATTAGAATTATGTATTTTTGAAGTATGATAAATTAATGAGTTTTTAAAGTTATAGTACTAAAGTCCAATTATTAATATAATGAATTAATTATGTTAGTAGGAATTAATTATAAGTTGGACAACATTATTTGTAAAGCTCTTTAAATTATATTTTACATCAGAGCTTTGATTACTAAAGTTACACAACTAGTATTATCATGTTATCATAGCAATTAAAAAGCATAGGGCGATTAACAGTTTTATAATAAAAACATACGAATCTTTGCACAAAGATTTTGTTAAAAAACTGTATAAAGCCAGTAACAAACTTAATGCAATGGATCAAATAATTAAAATGATTAGTAACTATTTTACTCATTGTTTTAATGATTATGTATGTTAAATTACTATTATTTTTTATAGGTTTATCGTAACTTGATAATTAAATACTTACCGCATCAATATGTAACTATTAATTGATATTGACTATGAACAGCCTTTTAGGTACATTTGTTTAAAAGATTTTGATGATAGAGAGGAAGCAAAATAAAAATGTTCAACAAGTATATGACGATTTATACAAGTTTATCGATCCTGAAGATG